AGGTCTAGCTAGTCTGTATATATGTCTTTGGATTACAATGAAAAGGTACGGGGAAAAGTAGATGGTATGATTTCTTGCATCGAATTATCTTGGCTATATATCTAGATCCGAAAAAGTCTATAAAAACCCCCCCAACTATTCAGGGTGGACTACTTCACCCTCTAAACTATAAAACCGGATTTTTTACCCCTGAACTTTCCAAAACCGGTCAAATAACCCCCACGCGGTTTTGGACGGTGGTTTGCTACAATGATGGTGGTTTTGTCTTTTTCTTTTTAATTTATTTCCGCTGAATCTTTGAAAAATCATAGTAAATCATAGAAAAATCATAAAATGGAAAATCTAATTTTATTGGACTCCACATGAGTAGATCTACACAGTGAACATATAATATGGTATGCTTTAGTACAAAGTTTTTGCTGTAGCTTTAGATCTGTGCTTTTCTGTGATTAATTGGAATAATTCATTGCTGCAACTTTTATGGTCCAATTGTGGTAAAAATTTTATGGTAGGTTAATTATTGTATGCTTGAACTATAGTAAAAATTTCATACTCATTGGATCATGTATAACTTAGTTTGCTCATATGCGATGTGTTTGTTAAATTTTGCAACCTTATTGTCAACATTTTTTCTTAATACAACATGATGAAATTTCGAATAAATACTTAACAGGTGATTGTTCGTGGCCATCTCCCGGTGATTGTGAGGGGGCTTGTACCCTTCCCGGTGGAGAGCCAAAAGATAACTCTAGTAAATTGCTCGTGTCATTGAGTTACCTCACTTGTGGATAGGTTCTTGCGGCGCCAAGTGTTGGCTAGATATGTGATACCTATTAATCGCCGAACCATCAAGTGTTGGTTGACACAACGGGGACTAGTATGCCAGCAAGTACGTAAACCTCGAGAGAAAAATGAATTGTCTCTTGTGCATTGGATTTCTCCTGGTAATTGATTTGGCATTCATTGATTAGTTCATCTCCCTTGCCACGACGGTATAGTCTTTCTACACACTCTTTTGTATTTACTTTTGTTTACTTTCTTGTCTAGTCAAGCTCTTTAGTGTCTTTAGTATAGTTAGTCTTTGAGAGCTTGTTAGTTTGGTTAGTGATGCTCTTTACTTAGTCTTTGAGAGCCCACTAACTTAGAAAGTAGTGACTTAGGCTTGTGTGCGCTTAAAGATCGTAGCAACTAGAATCGTTGGTGTAGGTGGCTTACAACCCTTGTAGAGCTAGAGCAAAATTGCATTTCACCATTTAACGTACTAACCAATTGCTCTAATGAATTTATAGTGGATTTTTATAGACTATTCACCCCCTCTAGCCATTTAGGACCTTTCATGAGTCCCGAGCTGCTATGGACAGGGCGACAGCATGGGATGGGATGGCCCCGAGGGACCCGATTGATCAGGGGCAGGGCCGATGCGATGCTTTACATACAGTACGTTGCGATGAGTGAAACACCAACATGTACTAGGCGAGCACTATATATATTAAGCAATAGCGTCATATGGTATGCTCTGGAAAACAGATGATTAATTTGTTGAAGCTATCGCTAAACTGAAAAGAACAGAGAAGAAAGCACCAATTGAATAACAAACATAAGAGATTTGTTTAAGAAAAAAAGTAGGCACAAAATGCAACGATGGAGGTAAGCATTATTGGAAATTCCAAGAGAATCAGTAAAACAAATGGAACTTCATGGAGGTACAATTTAACAGAAGGACAGATTCAATTTGAATACACTAACTGAAAAATATTTTTTTCAAGAAAAAAGGTGAATGTCGAACTGGACCTTGATGGTCCAGCTATCCATTTTGTCATTAAGCTACGATAATGGGTCTAATTTTTTTTCTTTTACGCATGATAGTTTTTGACACTGAGCCTGACACAATTTTGTGCAGGGATGGATGCTTCCCATTATCCTAGTATGTAAGAACATTAGAAGGCACTAATCAATGTGTACAGAATACGTGTTTGCCACTGAATCAAAACATTTGGGGGGAGCATACCTATGAAATTGATACTTGGTTACTTAAATCAATGTACAGAGACTAAAGGGCTTAGTTGCTGTAAAGCATTATATCTGTAATGTATGAAGTACACAATCGCAGTGGTAACATTGGACTTACGGTGGAGGCAGATATGCATGAGGTAACTTTGGACCGACCTGCAAGTAAGAAGAATGAGTATTTACCTGTTTGAGAGAACTATAAGCGTTACCAAACTCATTCATGTAAGTAATTTCAGTGGACTAAGTTTTTTTTTCTGTGGAATAAAAAAAGGCTTCAAAAGCTTGCATGATGTTTTCTCAACTCAAAATATATGACGACACTTCTTCCAAATCAATTTCCAGTGGGAGAGTAGTTTCAAGATTTGTCAGTGGTCTTTCTTTCTGAGTTAGCTGATGGTCACTACATTGCAAAAAAAAAAAACTATTAGCACTACCAAATCATGTGAAATATGATCACTAAGCTTAAGCATCACTTGAGACAGAATTTTCTGAACTTAGTATATACAGTATCCATTGAAAAAGAACATTCCTTATTACAAATGAGGAAGCAAGCAAGTTGCCAGCCTATAAATCAATCGCCTTGTGCTTATTTTTTTTGTAAGGCGCAGTTTTCTCCACTGACACCTTTTAGTCTGCACTGTTTTCATGCAAGAACATATTTTAAAGGGAGGAGGGTCTGGTAAGATTATAAAAAATAGGACATGCAGTCCTATGAAGCAATAAGCATAGGACACAACTGTATATTATCTAAAACATACATTAATAGGAGAACCACGATGCTGCAAGAATGCTAATGTCCTCGTATGCAAAAGCAGGCAAAGTTTGCTTTGTTGGAGCCATCAACCTGCACTGTAACTGCTACAAGGAAGGAAACCTACCAGATGAATAGTAGGTGTAGTATTCCAAACAGGAAATTGCCGTTTGATACAACAGTGCTTTTGGAGGCACTTTGTTTAACCTCACAGTCCATAAAAAATAATTAGGAGGCATGGGAAGAGTTATGTATTTGCGAAAAAGAAATGGGGCTTCCTTTTTATAGATTCTTTGATGTTTGGTTTGTGAGGACAGAATTCAATCTAAAATTAAATATCAAAGATAACGCAGCCAATAGGAAAACACACAAGACTTGCTGCAAACACACCATTATTGCTACAGAACTGGTACTTTAATGGTTAAAATTGTTAATAGCAGCTTGCAAAAAGGCATGGGACCAGATCCGTGAAACTTAAATAAGCAAGGATTTTAAAGTGACGTAAATCAGCAAAGACAGTATCTCATTGGTGTTATGAAACTGAGCAATATGTTCAAAGGTATGATCCTTATTTTTCCAATTGCCACTATGAAAACATACAGGCCAAACATACCAAAACCGAAAACAAAGATGTAAAGCAGGTTACATATGAGGATCTACAAATTTCAAGAGATGGCATTTGCGAACTTCATTGAATCTAGGATATTTAGACATGTAAGTACCAATACAAAGCAATGAGAGGTACATAAAAGGATGTAAATACACTAACCAGGAGGTATCACAAATAAGATTGTTGCCATAATCAATCGTTATAACACAAATAAGATCTTACCTACTCCCTCTGTCCCTAAATGTTTGTCGCCACGATTTGCGTGCCGATAATTTTGAATCGATTTATAGAAAATGTATGCAATATTTCTATCTCTAAATAAATTTATTAAAAAACTAGATTCAAATATCTATCCAATGATACTAATTATGTATCATAAATATTAATAAACTTTTAATATATATTTAGTCAAAGTTGTTTCTCGGAAAGGGAAAACGACAAACATTTAGGGACGGAGGGAGTACATCAATAGTAAAGCTTTTTGGCATAGGTAGTTCGTAGCCTAAACATTGTTGCTCTCCTGCACGGAAGAAACAAATAGTTTTGAACCATAAAAAGTGAGGACTAAAAAGAGATTCGATATGAAGACTAAGAAGAAGCTATCAATTAAACCTAGGAACTTTGAAAAAGTTCTATAGAACTATATGCTGGTTTTAACCAATCCAAGGTATTAATTGCCTTATTGTATCTCGTTGACTGCAATCATTTATCCTTTGTACTAAAGGAGATGCATCGAAGCTAAACAATATTTCTTGTAGTACATTATAAATAGTAATTTAGAGTAAGTCCTTTTCTACATGTATAATTCAAAATATCCTAGTAAAAAATGGCTAAAATCATTACTGTAATATTCATACGGAGCAGAGATAAGGATTTATGCTGCAGCACTAATAGCAAACAACTGTAGAAACCTTCGAGAGTCTGAAAAATAGGAACGCTAAATTGCAATGGACCACGAACAATTAGAGCGACTATTTGTAGATTCTACCATTGCGTTTGTTTATCTCAGAATTAATCGGAACAGAATTATGTTGAAAAAAAAACATGTGTAGGTGAGATTGAGAACCAAGAGGACCACCTGACATGGTACACAGCCATAGCTGAAAGCCCCAGTACCGCGACGAACTTGCACGCGCGACCCGCTGCACCGGCGCAGCACCCAGCGAGGGCTGCCGTCGCCTCGCCCTTGCGGCGCGAGGAGGGAGGGGTGTGGAGGAGGAGGAGGGTGGCTGCCGCCGCGCCGAGGGCCAGCCACCGCCGAGATCGCCTCGCGCCGTCCGCGTTGGGAGAGAGGGATCCTAGAGGAGAGAGACGAGGGGAAGAGAACCTCCGTGAAGGAGAAGTCGGAGTTGAGTATTTATGAGTTTCGCTAGATTCTGATGAGAAGCGGGAGAAGAGAGAAGCCAGAAAACGTAAGGAGAAGCACGAGGAGTCGATTCCGGTAAAATCCGTTCCAAGAAATCTGGGCCACTGAACTGCAGATCCGACGGCGGGGGTTAGTTTCGGGCGACGTGGCCGGCCAGCGCTCCTGTGCGAGAAGCTACTGATAAATTGGGATTTTTTTTTGTATTGATCGGATCATATATAGATTGCATTATTATTTATTACATGATGAACGAAGAGCACTCCTCACGGATCCGCTCCAACGACGACGACGTCGTCTCCGGTGAGCATGACGTGACGGCGGTGGCGAAACCTCCAGCAGCACTCCTGAGGACGGACACGCCTGTCGCAGGAGGCATGTACGCACGAAGTACTCCTACGCTTCCTGGCCTCCTCCATGCATTCTATGGCGCACCGCGCGAGATCGCACTGCCCATTCACCGGGTTGCAGAGCGTCTCGTCTTCCTCATCTGCATGCATCCAAGCAATTATTCCATCGTATCATGAAGATGAAACCATGCATATGCATGATGAATAGTAATTCACATGTCAGATCAGATCAGACCATATTATACTGTTAAGTACAATACAAGAAGCACATAATAAGTTCTAGATGCGTACTTTCTTCGAGGTTGGAGAGGGAACAAGGCAGCATGCTCACAAGAACGACAGCAATAATGCAAAAAAAGGCAGCACACATGGCCGCCCTTGTTGTGCTGGTCTTCATGACGAGTGCCATTATATTATCTTAGGAGAAGAACAACACTACCGGAACAATGTCGTCTGTGTTGTTCTTCCTTTCTCCTCTATATATGCTTATATATATATATATATATATATATATAGAGAGAGAGAGAGAGAGAGAGAGAGAGAGAGAGAGAGAGAGAGAGATGTAATGTACAAGTGTAAAATCTCCAGCTCGTTCTTAAATCTTTGATTGAGTACTGTCTCTACTCTCTATCCTAAAGGTTTTGATATATAATAAAGTCTGATATATCTTCTAGCGCTAATACTATCCAATAGATATCTGAATATTGTATACCAACAAGGTCAACCAATCAATAAATTCTGATATTTGAGTTCGATGAGTTTTCTTTTTCTAAATTTATCGACAAGCTAGTTCAGGGGGACGCTCTGTAGAGCTACATTAACGTAGGCTTTTGAACGGAGGCAGACGCTTTGCCCGCCATCTCACCCGCCTCCGTTAAAAATATTATAGTATTGTCTGATTTAGTTTTACCCATAATAATATTATACATCATATCAAATCAGTTGAATAAGATATTTATCACTAAAATTTCTTTTAGATGTGATATTTATTATTATATATTGGTCTTATATCAACCTCAACAAACCAAAATAATTGGCATTTATTAGAGAAATCTCATGTGTTCCACTTCTGTTTTCCACTCAACATTTTAACTAAAAATTGAACAAAAAAATTGTGATTCCTTTTTTGCATAAAGCATCATGGCGTTGGTGGTTTACTGCTTCGTATTCAGACAACATGCATGTAAATCTCAAGCACACAATTAAATTGATCTTTTGCACTCTGAGTATTTTTTACCCCTGGCGTCTTGTTGAGGTGTATGCCAAATATATATACGGAGACAAGCGGATTGGTGGCGTTGCTAAACACTACAAACTCTCAATACTGCGAACTAAGATGATTATTTACCGAACTAGTATATGTGTTAATTAGATAACAAGATGTTAACCTAACGATCACTGCTTAGGCAACGCCGAGGTACATGGGGACAGAGTGGCATTGGCCTACAGGCGGCGACGCGCGAGGGTGTCCCCTTGGCTTGCATGCTCCAGTAACTATTGTCCTACTATTTTGTTATTACTCTTGTTGAGCTTATATGCTTGGCTCGATCGGTAGCAAACTGCTATAGCTGATCGATACTCGTATAAGTTACATCTAGGTAGATAATAATTATGTTATTTTCTGTTATAAAAATCATTGTTCTGCTTCCTTGGTTGTTGTTGTCGTCGATCAGCTTGTTGAAATTGGTGGTAGATTGCAGAAAAATGAGAAAATATAGAACATGTCAGGTGCGGCTGTAGTTGTGATTTTTTTAAACAATTTTTATAAACTAATTTTAAATCTAACACTATTTTTTTTAAACTAACACTTTTGGCCGCGCCTATTGCCATGGCGCGGCGAAAAGCCTATGCCGCGCCATGCATGGTGGCGCGGCGGGAGGATAACGTGGCGAAGACCGGGGGCTGCTGACCGGTGACATGGCAGGGTCTGCCGCGCTATCGATCTTGGCGCGGCACTGACGCGCCCTGATCGGTGGTGCGGCAGAGCCGGATAAAAGGCCCGCGGCCCAGTCCCGCCTGCCTGCCACGCCCGCCGCGCATTCGCTCTGTCTGCCCGCCGCGTCCACCCGCCTGACCGCCGCGCCGCGCCCTCCCGCCACTCGCAAGTGCTGTCGGCGCCCGGTCCTCCGTTGCCGCCTCCCTCCCTCCCTTCCCTTCCATTCCCCGGTCGCCTCCCTCCCTCCTCGGCCTCGTTCAAGGTAATGACACACTTTTTATTTTCGTTTGAATGGTGGATTGGAATATTATAAATGGGAGCTAAGGTTAGAAGGAAAATTATGTTTGGGAACTATGGGCTATGGTTTGGAGGAAGATATTAGTTTGATTTTGTCAATGTTAAGGTTAATTATTTAGTTAGAAGTATGTTTACCATGTATATTTTTGTTGCTATAAGTGTAGGTTATATTATTTGAGTTGCAATGCAAATGATTATATTTTACATTAATTTGCGTTGTTTTAATTGATGTTTAATTTGAACCGTTTTATTAGATGGAAGACATGTTTCGGGAGCAGTTGTGGCGAAAACGGGGTCGTCCTAGAGAATTGTACCCCGACGAGTCTAGCAAAGATGCCCCCGTCCCTCCTGACCCCCCTGTCCCTAATTGTGACTGTGGTCGTCCGGCCGACGTATTTCAATTGAGACATCCGAACACAGCGGCTCGTTGCTTCTACACATGCAGTCGTTTTAATGTAACTAATTGTTTCCGTATGTTTTTTTCTTCATTTGTATTACTAGTTTACTAATATTTTGTTAGAATTTTGTTGTGTAGGTCCATGAGAAGTACTTTTTCTTTCAGTGAATCGACGGTGCAGACAAGTTTGATCCCAGATACCTCCTTTTCGATGATTGGTGGAGAGGGCGACATCCACGAGAGCACTTCGAGTGGTGGGTTCCACCTCCCCCTAACCCCCTCCAATGACGGCTAAGGAGAAGCACTTAGACGTAGTTAGACGACTCGAGGAACCTCCTCTGTGCGATTGCGGAGATCGAGCTATGATAATCCCTGAGAATACGTTGGAGTTTGTGTGTCCAAACAGGCATGAAGTAAGTGCAAAGTGTATATGTTGAAATATTGAGCTATATGTGTTCATGTACTAATATCACCTTATTTAGGTGTTTTCTATGGTGAAGTGTCGTTTCAAGGAGTGGTTGTATGGTCCTAAGAACCAATGGCCGGAAGAACTGCCAAAGGCAAAGCAAAAGAAGAAAGAAATGTTAATTTACAAAGCACCTCCTGTCAAGTGCGAATGTGGTATTAAATCCAACTACGGTCTAGTCCCTTCGGAGCTTGAAATAGGCCATTATTGCGGCCATATGGTTGACTATGATGAGGTTGGTTATTTTTTTTGGTAAACATGAAATCGTATTTTGTTTTTTTTACTAAGACATATATGATATAATTTTTCGTTTGAATAGAGCACTAGAAAATGTAGGTGGGAATGTTATGATGGTCAAGCTAAGTTTTTGGATAAATTGAAGGGGAAGTAATTTATTGCATGGAAGAGGGGATATGGACCTGACTACGTCAACCTATTCATTAAACATCACAAAGACAAGATGCGTGAGTTTGCTAGACAGCGCTGTATTTGTAACACGATCGATGTTGGGCTTGACAAATGGGGATTGGAGAGACGGATGACGTTAGAGGTGGAGAGGGCAAGGAAGGAGGCAAGGGAGGAGACAAGAGTACAGATGCAGGTCTTGAACGAGCATGTTGTTGCATTATGTGCCAGTGAGTGCTTGAAAGCCTTTTTTTCGTTGCCTGATTTTAAATGTAATATAATTGCGTTGCTAACTGATTGCATTCTATACATGAAGGGATTGGATGCAGCGAGGAACATGCTACAGAGGTAGCTTGTGCAAGGTATGAGGAAAAGAAGTTAGATGAGCACAGAATGCGAGCTGGTCGCACCATTGAATCACCGATTGTGTTGTCTGATGAGGGGGACGAGGATGAGGATGACACTGTCAGACTGAGCGAGCTCATCGCTCTAGCAGAGGTGGGCTTGTAGGCGGAGGAGTCTGAGAACGACACTGATAGACTGAGCGAGCTCATCGCTCTAGCAGAGGCGGGCTTGCAGGCGGAGGAGGATGACGACGCGTTCTTTACTCAGGCCGCAGAGGCCGCTTACTACAAGCAAAAGGCAGATCAGGGCAATGTAGGTAACCCTAGCCACAGCAACAAGGTTATGGTAGAGGATTGATACTCGGACGACGAGTTACTTACTCAGTATGTTTCTGACTGAGGATTTTTGAATTACGCCGTGTATTAGAACTTCCATTGTGTTGTCTTGTTTTTCATTTAAACTATTGATGTATTGTACCCATGTATCATGTACTCAGATTACCCATGGTCGATCTTAAGTGATCCCATCTGTTTGTCACCCTCCAACCTATCCGTTTGTCGCTCTCTAAGTTTTTTTAATAATAGCGAATGCGTTGAGAATTTCTAAAACGAACAAAATCGACGCGCCAGCCCTAAGCCCAAGTTCTATTTGTGTCCAGGTTCTGCCATGCTATAGCCCACATCGCGGCACTGATGCACCAAGCCCCACGGCATGACAGGACCTGGACACAGACATAAGCTCACCAGCCTCAATTGCAACTGAACGGGAGCTGTTGTCGGTGCTGTAAACAACTACAAGTGCTGTCGCGACCGTGCGCTAGTTGAAATGAATATGAAGCAAATAAATGGAGTCCGTGTGCAAGTTGACAAGTTGCCACATAACATTTTTATTGGTTCATGAGTCTGCAAGTTTTGGACGATAATATTCGTTCGACATAAGTTCGACATAACCAACTAAGTCCTAGGAGTGTAAGGATCCCTCGGACGCCTCTTGGAAACCTCGTCGTCGTACTCCACCTCAAGAAGGGGGGTACATCTGGTGTGGCGTGGGAGGGGCCATCCTGTTACAAATTGATAAATAAATGGTTAGAGTATTCAAATGAACAATATTCAAATTAATATTATGTAGCATTACAAAAATTGAAGTACTTGGTATGCAATACGAACACAATATGAAAGCACCTGCTGCCCTCGTCTTCTATGCCTGCTAGCCTTGTGACCAGGGTCTTTGCAAACGGAGCAAAGATTCCTACCACAAGTCTCATTGAAGTCTCCCCCTCCGTACATGTCTTCGTCGTACCTTCTCATAGCGTCCATGTCCCCCTTGAGTCGCTTCTTCTTCCTCCTACCCTTCCCTACCTTCATTAGATCCGGATGAGACACATAGTCATAATCATTATAAGGTGGCCACTGTGTCGGGTCAAGGTATGGCTCAAAGCTCATCTCCTAAATACTAACGGTGTTCGAACGGAGATAGAAGGGTGACATATATGACAGATCCTCATAGTTGTACCCACGAATGTTG